ACCCAATCAAGAGGAGGGTTGAATATTAGCCAACCCGAGAATAGTTTACAAAACCCAATTAGGAGGAGGGTTGAATATCAGCCAACCAGAGAATGGTTTAAAAGACCCAATTAGAAAGAGGGTTGAATGTCAGCCAACCAGAGAATGGTTTAAAAGACCCAATCAGAGGGAGAGTTTAATAACCAATTAGAGGGAGGGTTCAATAACCAATCAGAGGGAGGATTAAATATTGACCATTCATTACTCACTGTAGTCCAGACTACGTCATCACAATTTGGTCCCTAAGTCACAAAGCCTCACAGGGTGAGAACTCCGCGTGTCCAGTATAGGTGGATTGTGGCGCTGTCCATAGCCTAATGCGAGGCGCAAGGGAGATAGGGATGATAATCGTGAGGCACAACCGCCAAGGCATCACCCTCGTCCGAGTCCAGGGCGAGGTCCGAGCAGTTTTTACTCACTTTGGCAGCTTGTGACATTCATACTCGGTACTGCGGGTGGGGAAATGACTGCAATGACTGCACAGACCGAGTCTCCGGCAGTGAACTACAACCGCAACAAGTGACTTCTGTCTCGTTTGTCTCTCGCACAAACAATCAGTCTCTTGCCTCCCGTCTCTAGCTATCCAATGGCAGACCATCGTCTGGCTTTGATACCTTCATTCTCCCATCATGTTAATTCAACTTTGGTCAATCGTCGCAGCCCCACACAACAATGAACACATTCCCACCTCCAGTCCAAACGGAATCACTGACAACCCTGATTGAATCATTCGCCCTTGGAGGCAACATGATTGACTGCAACAAACCCAGACGAAGGCGAACCAATGTCACCTTTGTCGTCGTTGTCCTCTTCTCCGCCGCCATAAATCGAGCCTCTCAAATCTCCATGCCCTGTTTCCACATCTAAGTCATTCTCGGTCTTACAAATACATTTCTCCAGCACTCCAGTCCCACAGACCTTCTCTGTGTCACCAGTGAAGTCACTCTTGCAGTAGTCGCACCGATAATTCTCTGTCTCTGACGGCAACTGGTCGAGACCTGAACATCGAAAGTGGATGGACCCAAACATGCAGGATGCGGACCTGCAGCGCAGCATGGGCCCCTCGTCAGCTGGCTCCCTGCAGTGACAGACCAACATATCCCCAAAGTCATGATCTGAAGCTGAAGTGTGTCTTGCAGCCGGTCTTCCTGCAATCCGCGGGGCTTCTTTGAGTTGCTTAAGCCGGTCAACCCATTGGAGTCCCTGCTTCCTGTATCGATCCCTGTATGGCTGCGTATCTGGAGAAACCAATATTCTGAGGCCGGAAGGATTAGGCTTCTTGATTCGATAGACGCCTTTGAATCGTTGCTGTTCCAGGTCGTTTTCAATGCGTTGTATCTCAAGTTGCTTTTCCCGACGGAGGCGAATCACTTTCTTCGAGCTCGAAGCCTTTCCTGGCTCTATGTCCGACTCTCCTTCAAAGCAAAGGCGCAAGAAAAAGCTACCCTTCTTCTCCAGGGTGGGGTATATCTGCAAGGCTCTGGGAAGTATCGAATTCCTATCAGGCTGTGCTCCATCGACAAGCTGAGAGACCATCTTTTGCACTGTTTCTGGTCGCTGTTCGCGATCCACAACTTCGTCGAAACAGTCGAGGCAATAATACGATGTTCGTTCGTAGTCGGTAAGTTGACCATTTCCTTCATTCAAGGCTTCGTCGCGTATCATGGCGAAGTATTCACCTTCTGGGATCACGTTGGCAGAGTTCGGACATGTTGGAGAGGAGCAGCAATACACGACGCCTGGCTCACAGTGCTGATAGAACGTAAAGTGGTATCTACCTGCTATTTCATGTCAGTCCCACCAACGACACTCGGAGGAATATGCGTACCGAGGACTACTGGTTCTGCTGCATGGCGTGACCCTGGATTGAAATCGGATGTCAGGTAGGTCTCACTTGGGCAATCCGCATCTGATGATCCAGTTGTGTGATCGAACTTGGTGCCTGTTTCATAGAATAGAGACCCGGGTGTTTCCCTGATCCCTTCTGTGCTCATATGGCTCTTGTCACCTGATAGATCAATTGGCTCTTGGCCCTCGTCACAGGGTAAGTATGAACTGGCGATCCCTACACCGTTCAACGTCTCATAAAGACTTGGGTTTGAATGCCGAATGAACTCGCTGATTTCCTGCTCTGTCATCGACGAGTCACCATCAACACACCCAGAGTAACTTGTGTGGCATGAATCCTCGCAGAAGTACAAGAAGTCGGCATCTTGGTCTTTCATACGGACAATTGTCCGCAGAGGAACTGACATCGTGGCTGATTCCTTGCCTTGCGTAGGACAAGCCCATTGATGCGACAAGCGATGGTGTGATATGAAGAAACAGCCGCTACGTGAATGTTAGGCAGTGAGGAAATTTTTAGTTCCCATTCACTACCAGGTGAGGCAGCCTGTAGCCAGATTTTCTGAAGCCACGTGTTATATCCACATATACGCTTTCATTTTCAAGCTCCTAATCCCGAGCTAATTGGGTGTTATTACTCCCAGGTTGTGCATTTATGTCTCTGAGACGCATGCCGGTACGTTGTCCTTCTTCCTGGGGCAAATTCTCCATAACATACGAGCTCGAGAGATTCTGATTTCGAGAGCTCGAAGCTAAGTCTCGCACCAACTTCCCCTGCTTATACGTCCAGATATATCCATTAAACTGCTTAGAAGGATCATCCAAGGCAGTCAGCACAACTCTATTCTCATAGGTGGGAGCCTTCTTGGTTTCGCGCACGGCGGCCTCGATGTCTTTGCTTCCGTGGAGAATCGAAGCGGCACCTAGAAGTCCAACGGGCTCTTCATCCAGGATCGAATCCTGTCTCTCATAGACAAAGACTGCCATATTCAAAAGAGCAACAATAAGTAATATGCTCACAATTATATATGCAATTGGTGATACGACAATCAGTCGAGTCGGCTGGACAAATGTTGTCCCCACGGTCGTGGTCGGCGCATCGGTCGGTTGCAGAAGATATTGATTGGCAAAGATTGAATACATTGTGGTAAACATGGCCTGGGCAGATTCGATGATTGTGTGGGGAACCAATGCCGATGTGGATGATTTGTGACTTGAAAGACGATATACTTGCTGCCAAACTCGTTTGTGTCAACATCAGCACGAGGATCATAGCAGCCTGCAGCCTGGAAACCCATTTCGAAGAACCTCCATATGGTGTCGGACCTCGACTCGGAAACATTTGCAGCCTGATATGACGTTATGACTGGAGCAGCGGAGTGTACCTCCCAACTTGCCGTCACATTTCCGTTGCTCGTCCGATAGGACCGGGCGCAAGATACAAGGCTGAGGTTTACAATCTCTTGGTATTCTGTGACCCGAGCGACGAGAAAGCTGAAACGGCTCCAGCCTGCATGTGGAGGACAAGTCGTTGTGCTCCAGCTGTTGATAGAAATTTTGGGAGCGTCAGGATTCAGCCGGAAATTGGAACTTGTCGAGATTCGACAACCGCGGTCATTAGCGAATACGGAGACAGTCATGGCCGGAAGACCCGTGTCCTCCGGCTTTTGGATCAGTTTACGGTACGAGTTTTCCTCCAGATGCACGCATTCAGCATGAGCAGAATACGCCAAACTACCGAACGTCACGTTGCCTCCTCTGAAGGAATTCAATGCAGCCACTGTCGGGAACGCATGCCGGCCGTCAGTCCACGGGGGTGGATTGGCTCCTTGAATGTGAATGGCTGCTGCCATGTCCATGAACCTCAGATTTGGATAAGATGGATATTGGCCGAGGATGCTGGTGTTGAAAGCTGTCTCCGCCGATAAGGAGAGCGGGCTGTGCAATTTGGGCTGTGCTGTTGTGAAAAGGAAGGAGGTTAATGGAACGACCAGAAACACCAAAGTTGCCGAGGAGAGCATACAAGCGGCGAGCAAATAATGCTGGTTTTTAACCGCTGCATACCAAGACAGCGCAAAAGGCTCGGTGTACTCCAACAGGATCGTTGTCTGGCCGGTCCACCAGCCTTCAAATCGACGTAAGGCTGCCGTTTTGCAAATGCTGCGACCGCTGCATGCCAAGAGGTCTGGAAAAGGGTCATGATGAAGGCCGGCAAGGCCGTGTAAAAGATACCCTGCGCCCATATAGCCTGCTCTAGGCTGGGATCCCTCGCAAGGAATCCCGGAGCATCCCCCAAACCAACAAAGCCGTGGTTGCTTTTCGAGATGGAGTCAAGGCTGAGTATGGTTATAACAAAGGCGGCATTCAAGGAGAGGAGGAGCGACAGGCACGGCGGGCGAATTTTCCAAGACTTCCATGTTCTATTGCTGACACTGGTGGACTGAAGTCTTTCTGTTGGAGGCGGAGATGACTGTCTCGAGGCTGCGGTACCACCTGGCACATTCTCGATATCAGGGGCGTTGCTGCGAGCAAGATTCGCCGCTACGGTTGTTTCCGCGGATGTGGTTGTTCCTGCCCCATTATCTGGTCCGCCTTCCGCTGTGAGCACAGATACGCCAACGGACGATACCTCTTCCCCTGATCCCCGTCCGCTTTCAACTTGCCTAGTAGTGGAGCCGACATCTTCTCGAGAAGGGCTTGCAAAGAGCTGGATTGGCCCTTCTACAACACCTGATGTTGGTGGAGAATTGATTCTGTTCTCATCCATTACAACATGCGATATGGCACCCACTGCGTTGGCTCGTCCGACAGACCCGTCGAGCACTAGACGTTGGGCGTGGCCAGTCTTAAGTGCAAGAGGATGTGGAAAACCATTGACGTCGCGGCTAGGACAAAATCCTGTATTTCTGATGGCGAGTCCCAAGAGAGCCCATCAGGCTGACGCTGGGCTAGGGCGTCAGGTAGAGAAGCAAGTTCTACCGAAGCGGCGTCGCTACCACATGTGCGGTTCTGGCGGCTAGGACAAGCCTTCGATGCTCAATCACAACCTCGGACCAATCACATATCCCATCACCAGCCCAAGGCTGACTCTCCTGAGACAGATTGTCTTGGCTCCGCCCTGAATCTGGCGGCACGAGGCATGTTAGGCTGACTGTGGCTTTGTCACGAGCTTCCCAGGTTTAACAATGGCAGCCGTACGGTCATAACTTTGCACCAGAATCAACACACCTCTTCTCTGGGTCGAAACAGTGTCTAAGATTTCCACGAGCCCCATCACGGCCAGGATGATTCTACTTACATTTCTCGCCCTTGCGGTGCGCCTCTGTAGTTCAGGCTTCGTCCCGCCTGCCGAGTTCTGTCTTCTAGATTCCGGCCTCAAGGAGCTTTCAGGCTGCATCAAATGGACTGATCTTAGCGACGAGTGCGGAGCTAAGGACTCGGAAGAAGTAAAGCTCGAGTGTGTTTGCGCGCAGGAGTACCTATCCTCGTTGTATGAGTGAGTTTAAATCCTCGCTCATTTCGGTGGTCTGTTTTGGCTGTGCTTGATCAACGCAATCTCGATGAGTTAGCATAATGCCAGGCTGACATTTCACAGCTGCGAAAGTGATGTACAAAAGTGCCTTGCCAGCCATGTGTTCGATAACCAGTTCCAAGCCGAGATAAATGAATGGCATAGAAGATGCGATAGTCGGGTCAGCTCAACAATGACGACTCCTCCGCTCCCTACAATCACGCAGACGTACGACTTCGGTGCCTGCAGCCGGTTGTACCAAAGTTGTCTCAAGGGCGACTATGAGACAAGACTCTGTTCGAACAAATACTTGCCTTCATCCAGCCTATCGTATGCGTCATGCGTATGTCAGCCGCCTATATACTCGCTCTTCTCTGAATGCCAGTACAATGGGAATATATCTTGCAAGCGGACCTCTGCGGCAGAGTCGAACATCTTGGGCTACTCGATCTGCTCTTACTTTTGGTCTGGCTCGGTAAGTGGGCTCCAGGGGCATTCGCTAGCGTCGGCGCTAACAGCCAGATCAAAGGAAACACTTTCGTCAATTGACCTCACATCCTACCTTGACATCACCGGCGCTTCCCCCGCTCAGACCACGACCTTAGATGGTTGGATTACGCAAGTCCGTCCTAACCCAGCTATAACTCCAACGGCTACCGCCGCACCATTGCAAGTTGGTGAGTTTGTCGAATCGGCTGAGAAGAAATTAAAACAACAAGGCTTCAAATTCTGGTGACCAATTAGCTATGAACAGGTTGATATGGAGTCCAACGGGCGACTGACACGATTCAAGGGAGCATCAATTCCCATGCCTGGACGGGGTATTTCAGACTCCGCCGCATATCCAGTTGGGCATGAACGATGAGACAGCGTCAATTAGTGTGCTGCTCGGCGATAAAATAAGATCCAGTGTGAATCATTGCCAGAAACCTGCCCTTTCAGATTTACGGCATTGATCAAATACTCCGTCGTAGATATCTCTGCTCTCTGATTACGGAGAAACATAATCCACATCAAGCAGAAGAAGAAAAAGATCCCCTGCCCCCCCTGATATAGATTTAGCCTGGATGGAAGAATATATATCCTCCACGATTGCCTTTTTACCGACTACGAGATGAGCTGCACGCATCACTCTTCTGAAGCATGGGTGATACTCGGAATGGCGTTGACAACTCGGCAAGACGGAGTCGTGAGCAACACGAGGAACACGACGAGGAATATGAGTTGAACACGTTAGGAAGGGAATTAACTCAGGCCGCTCCGTCGTCCGGTGCCGGTCTTTCCAGCACGGCGCCGAGAGAAAAATACAAGTTTCAATGGCGTACTTGGACAAGGCTCATTTTCCCAGCCTACATTCACCAGGTCCCTGTTCACGCAGCCAGGGACCATCTTGCCAACGAACGCGTCTTCCTTGGCTACGTTCGAACGTCGTCGGCCCTAGCGAACTTCGCCATCACGATTCTCCAGCTTTACAGGTTGAAGCATGATCCAGTCCCACCAGGCAAGCTAAGCGACTACAATTTGGGCATTCCGCTTGCGGTGGTGACGCTATTCATAGGCATCGCTATCACGCTTGCCGGAGCATGGAGATTTTTTGCCTGTCAGAGTGCCATGGCCCGCAGGAAGCAGATCGTCACTAGTGGAATGGTGGTCTTTGTCTTTATTCCGGTTTTTGGTCTGGTAAGCTCACCGTTACTGTCCTTCGGAGATGAATTTTGTTCCTGAACGAGTCATCAGTTGCTCCTGGCGCTTCTGATCCTTACAGTCATCGTCAATCCTGATATATGATTTCGACTGCGAAAGTCACCTTAGAGGTCTCGATCGAGCGAGTTTCATGACGAAGCCAAAAACCCCACCGGAAGTCTTTTGTCACCAGATTCGCTCCTATCTGTTTCGATTCCTCATCTGCATCTCCTTAAATGGAGGGGCACCTGGCCAACAAGGGCCCGAAGATCTCCTGATTCATGGTCAATATACCCGGTACTCCCTGCCTCCTGCGGATCTGCGTGTCGTTTTGCGTCCTTCTGCTACAAACACATTCTCCGAATTTCGTACTTCAGATACTTGGTCAATCTCAGCAAATACAGGCTTTGAGTGCGTAGCTGTCTAGCTATTTAACGTGGCGAGGCTGTGGGCCTTGGTGGACGGTCATAAATCGGGGTTAGCGCATAGAACTCTTGGCAGGGTGCACAACCGAAATTCAATCGATTCGCAACCGCAGCCGCAGTCGAAGATTTCTTTTCGCATCTCTAACAACGACAACCTCACACCGTCAACTTGTTTCCTACCTCGAGGTATGTGAAAATGCGGCCCTTCTTCAGCTAGCCTAGGATGAGCAATCCGACTGCAACTGTTTGATTGTAGCATTTCCAGGTTCTGTCCAGTTTGGATATGCTCATCTTTCGCGACACGAGCTGAAGAACCCTTCACTGGGCACTCTTCTGGCTCGAAGGCTCCTGAAGACTAACAAGTTCTCCACTGCACAGATACCTCAAGTTCCTCGGCCTTCACACGAACTTGAGAATCTCACTCGCCCTCAAATACCGCCATCATGGTCAGAACATCCGTGCTCAACGACGCGCTCAAGAGCATCAACAATGCCGAAAAGGCCGGCAAGCGCCAGGTCATGATTCGACCCAGCTCCAAGGTTATCATCAAGTTCTTGTCTGTCATGCAGAAGCACGGTACGTTCGCATCCTGCATTTGTTGGGTTACAAGAGGAGGATTCTGGCATACTACACATGCTTGAAAATTTGTCGGGTTGATAACTAGGCGGCGGTTTCAAACCATTGCATCCACGACCTTTGCCCTTTAAGTACCCGAAAGATTGACTTTTCTTCTCTGCGACTGAGTCTTACACATTTGCCTTCTCATTTCATCCATGTTTGTTTAATGTTTATTCAGTCGCAACAACCCAAGCTTCTTGTCAAACATCGACTGACGGCTATATTTATCAACAGGCTATATCGGCGAGTTTGAAGAAGTCGACGACCACCGCAGTGGCAAAGTTGTCATTCAACTCAATGGCCGTCTCAACAAGACCGGTGTCATCTCCCCACGCTACAACGTTCAACTCCGTGACATGGAGAAATGGGTTGTCAAGTTGCTGCCATCTCGTCAATTCGGATACATTGTTCTCACCACCAGCGCGGGAATCATGGATCACGAAGAGGCCAGACGAAAGCACGTTTCGGGCAAGATCATTGGCTTCTTCTACTAGAGGGCATATGGAAAATGTTTTTCTGCATGTGATACGCACGAGCGAGGGAAATGAGATACCCGGAAAGTCTTGAATTCAGCCCCAGATTCTGATTCCGTAGAGAATTCAGCCGATAATTCCAGCTAAATCTGAGGGTGTTAACCTCATGAGTGAATCCATATCAACCCTTGACCCTGTGCAGTGTACGGCCTGGATCAATTGTAAAACTACGTCTCACGCGGGTAAGAATTTTTGGCCTACCAACGGTGCCAAGACCTTTGCCCTAGTTGCCAAATCGGGAGCCTGCGGGGGCGCAGAAGCCTTAACTCAAAGACAGGAACTTTGACCCTTCAATCATTTCTCCCATCAACCATCAAACACTGCAAAAATGGTATGCGCATTCCCATATCCACGCCCAATCTGGCTGGGATGTATTGCTGACTAGCCCAGGCGCCCGCAGCATCCTCCGGCGGCAAGAAGCAAAAGAAGAAGTGGTCCAAGGGAAAGGGTACGTTTTTCGACCGACATTTTATCTGTTCTTTTCTGTCTCTCTCGAGGGCTTTTTGTATCTCACAGCGCTCTCTTTCCCATCTGCTTGGCTGACATGTGCTTTCCTCTTTTCCGCCCATAGTCAAGGATAAGGCCAACCACGCTGTCGTCCTCGACAAAGCCACCTCCGACAAACTCAACAAGGACGTCCAATCGTATCGCCTCATCACCGTCGCCGTGCTGGTTGACCGATTGAAGATCAATGGCTCGCTCGCGAGAAAGGCGCTTGCGGACCTCGAGGAGAGGGGTGTGATTAGGAAAGTCGTGGCACACAGCAAGGGCAGCATTTACACAAGAGCGGCTGCTGGTGGCGATTAAGATGTGTGCGCGGTTCAGAGGGATGTGGATGATTGAGCAGAAAATGAAGGCGAGAGCCCGAGCACAGACTATCTCCCTTGACAGAGATGCTCTTTCGCCGTGAGATGATGTTGATGATTTTGCATGGGATATGGACGGGAAATGCTGGGTCACTAGATCGGGCTACGGATTCACATTGCAAAAAGAAAATCGGAAATGTCTATCAGAAGCTGGACGAGGACGAATACCATTGCCACCACCAATCATTGGCACTTGCGAATTTCCATCTCAATGATGTCTTCGGTTGAATCTGGTTAACTGAGGAGCTTTCATCCCACACCCCCAGCAAACAGCAAATCAACACAAGCAGTCCAGGTCCAAAGCCATTCATAAATCGTCTATGCATCCATGTGGTCTATTCCTGTGAAACTTTTGATCATATCATATCTCTCTATTGTACAGGCTTTCCGGGTGCGTGCTTTTTCTTTTCCATTTTCGAGTTCATATTCTTTCTCTTCGGCCTCCCCTTTTCCGCTGGCTCACACAACTTAGGTGGCTCGCCTGTGTATTCTGGGACGCCGACCAACTTTCCAACCTCGAAATATTTCTTATGCTTCTTGTAAAACTGTTCCCATCTCCTCACTTCATCCAGTACTTTTTTCTTGGCCTCTCTTCTTTCTTTCTCTGCCCGCAATTTCCTCGCGCTGCTCGAGATCTCTTCTTCCGAATCGTCTTCAATTGGAATGTAGATCATCTCCGCACCTCTTAGATCTCCGGTCCGATCCTCGAGAAAACATCCCGTCACAAAGGCCCTGGTAGCGTCCCTTCCCGCGAACACTTCGTAGCTCCCACCAGGTCCGTACGTGTGTTTTCCGGCGGAAACATCAAAGACGGTCCCATTGATAGCTAGGTAAATAGGCTTTGCAGGGTCACTGCCATTGTAGAGGGTCAACTGCTCTGGTGTGAGGGCTAAAGGCCCTGTCCACCAAAGAGAGAGTTGAGACGGGTTCAGGAACCATGGGTTATATTTGAACAGCAGAGAGGTCCCAGAAGTAAGGTAGTATGAAAGCAGACACGAGGCGAGTATTAAGGTGAGGATGACTCGCAGGATGTCGAGGGGGGAGATGACACGAGAGGTTGTGTCTTCGGGCTCATCTGGAGGTGGTGGTGAGGTGGTAGTGGACTTGGATGTCGCAGACTCAGCTCGAGGCGGTCGGCGCCGGGTAGACAAGGCAGTAGCCATCGTATTCCGTACTCTGTCACCGAAGAACCGCTAGAAACGAAGTATCAACTAAAGTCGAGAAATCTTCCTCGGAGTACGAGTTATGAGGAACTAATGCGCAGGAAGTGAGCCGTCTCGCCGTGTGGGGAATCTGCGGGCTGGGGACAAGATGCAGCCTCCAGCCACGCGGATTGATTGAATCGAGCTGAGCTCACCACCTCGCCTACCTTCTTCTTCCCTCCGCCGTTGTATTTTCTTTCTTTTGCCTGCGTGAAAGTTAAGACGCGATTTGCTATTGTGCAGCCTCTTACAGTCTCTCGAATCTGGCCTTGATTCGCCGCGTCACTGTACGAGCGAGCCTCGGCTGAACAAAGTAAACAAAAGGACTATTCATCATTCCACCTTGCGCCAACCATTCCAACCTTGACGTCGCCCTTGCCCTCAATCTGAGCTCAAAAGCCTCCTCTCTCATGCGTCTTTGAACCTCTTTCTTCCTGTGACGTTCCGACCCAGCCATGTCCTACTCGTATACCGTGACGGAGCGCAAACGGAAGACTACCACCTCTGGCGGGTACGGATACTCAGGCAGCAGGTCGACGTTTGGTTACTGGGTTCCCCTTGTTCTCACTGTCACAGCAGCCACTATCGGTCTTGCAGCATGGGTCTGGGGTGAGAGGAAGGACGACGAGGAAGAATCGAGTGAAGATGAACAATTCCAGGGAGGCGTCCCTCCTGCAGGCTATGCCTCGATGAGCGGCGCTCTACCTCCTGGACCGCCAATGGCGCCTGGCTTCCAAGGAGTGCCGCCTCCTCAGGGCGGTGCTCCCATTCCAATGACGCCCGGTCCACAACAGCCGGGAGGGTTCGGACCCCTGCCACCTCCGGGTGGTTACCAAGGGCCTCCACCACCGGGCGGTTTTCAGGGACCTCCTCCGCCTGGAGGATTTCAGGGTGGTCCTCCGCCGCCGGGATGGCGAGGGACAGAAGAGGAATACCGTGCTCGGTCGAAGGCGGTAGAGGAGGAACAGGAGACTGGCCTCGTCGCTCGTATGTCAAGTGCACTGGGTTTTGGCCGCTCAACTACTCCCTCCGGTGATCGCTCGCGCAGCCAGGGTCAAACTCAGTCATATGACTGGGCCAATAAGCCATTTGCTTCCGCTACGGCGGCGGCGGGTGCAATGGTTGGTGCCGCCATCAGTACCCTAAGTGGCGGAGGTGGCGATGCCTATGAAGACCATGAACGATGGAGCGAGGAGGCCGAACAGCGAGACAACGACCGTCAGATCAAACAAGGCATCAAGAGGCGCGGAACAGCTGATGAATTCTTTTCAGGAAGCATAGAACTTCCCAAATCTGCTTCTATTGCCAACCGGAAAAGGAAGACTGTGGCTGTGGTAGTGTCGGCCGTTGGATTGGATACTAGTGCCGAATCGGATGCTGAGCAACATGCGGTAGGTTGTACTTCAGACGCTCAAAGTTGGTACCTGACAGGTTGATAGTCTATCCTTTCACATCTCCCAGAATACATCGAACCCGACACAACACGAGTCTTCGTCCTCATCTACGCACCAGATCTAAAAACGCACCCACTCAGCCACGCCCCTAGAAGACCCTCTCAATCTATGGCATCGTCGTTCTCGAACATTAGCCACACGGATGCACATACACCGGCCCAAACACCGGGGGAATTCCCTAATGATGGCATACTGACTCAAGTAGAGCCGAGCCCCCTTGACGAGTCAACTTCCCTCTTCAAGACCTTGTACAACCAAGCCGTGGTTATTGTGGACAAAGAGACTATGGTGCTACCCTATACCTCACCTAACGGACACAAACATATTCTCCGCAGCCTTTCGCCGGAAGTCGTGTATATCCAAGAATCCCTCTGCGGCCGTGATGGCGAGATCGTCTCAGACTTGTCCGGCTGGGTAAAGCAGACTGTTATCGTTATCGGTGACGAAGGAGGACACGGTGGATTGATTGATACGGATGACGAATCGGTGACTTACAAGAACACGGAAAAGTGGTGGCAGAAGGAAGAGAGGACGGGACTGGGAAAGAGAGTAGCTGTCGTGGAGAGTTTGAAAATTGGAGAGGATTGGGACAGGCGGATCAATGAAAAAGATTGAAGTAACAGGAGGTCGGAGTCAGAAGAATGATGATTGATGGCACCAGTAATGTTGAGATGAAGCCTCTTTTCTATTGTGGACATGGGATTGTGTATTCGCTGATTATGATGGCGCCTACCAGGAATACTGAAAGCAGTATACATGTTTCTCAAATCATACTTGGCTTCTTTCTTTGCCTTCGAACACTTCCTGCATCCTCTTCTCCAATGGCCTCGTGTCGAGGAACGTTTCCATACGATAACAAATCAATCTTCCCTTGTTCCCGCCGTCACCCGAGGCTACATCGCCGTCTCCGTCCTCCCTGACATATAACGTAGCAAAGCCTGGAATCTCCACATCGTCCTTCCCGCTCGGATCGTCTCCCTTGACGCGATACTTGATCCTCGCGGCCTGGTATATCCTCGGCGGCACGTAGTCGAAATATTCGATGTAATGCTCCATCAGATCCAGGCGGGAGAGTTGCGGGGCGAAGAACATGTCACGGAGTGCTTCCAGGCCCTGAACGGGCGGGCCGTTGCCGAATTGCAGGATTATCGACGGCGCGAAGAAGTTGTTGCACCAGTGCGAGGCGGAGAGGGTGGCGGACGCGGCGTGAAACTGTGAATCTCAGTTAAGACGACATATCAGTCTCCTGTAATGAAAAGAAACCAGGGGGTGGTATGTATGATATGGGGAGGTGTAGCCAGTAGGAGTGAGGACCGTTCGATATACACGACCACGAGGCTGAGGGAAAGGTTTTCCTGTATATAGGCACAACTGCTTACATCTTCGAGCCATTTCTGGATCTCTGCTCTCTCTAGATCCTGTGTTGAAGCCATGTTCTATCTCGCGTTGAATATTGAACAGATATAGACATTTGCAATGCCCATTTAACCTCGTCGTTGCTCTTAATATATATGTTGAGTGCTGTACACTACGCATACAAGTGGAACGATACCACCCTTTGGGGGTATTTGTCAGCAGCGCACGCCTTGAAAGACCTGGGAAGCTCCATCACGTCCGTGACAGCCAATGGCCTTGCCTTATAGCTTCATACGCAATATGCCTGACAAGCCAAGCGAAGCAATCAAGCTCTTCAGAACGACACGGACGACCCGCGTGCGTCTTTCGGTCGAAACAGTCCGGCTTCCAGGGCAACCGGTGGAAAGACGGCAGGACTATCCTTACTGAAGATCTGCGGAAAGGAAGATAGCATGAGATTCACCTTTGCGATCTACCTACAGGTGCCAGCAAGCTCCAGCGTACCGCATATGTGTCACAGCACAAAGTCCTCCAGCGTGCTCGGGGCGAAAAGGTCCTCGGGTTTGAACTTCTTCTGAGCCAGCCCCTGTTCAAATGAATACTGCAAGAACTTGTCCAACACATGTTTGTTCGCTTCAAACCCGTCCTTCCACCATCTATCATCTCCACCCATCAGCTTCTTCGTCTCTTCAACGTGGTCTTCTAGCCACGGCAAGATGTACCGCAGCGCCGCTCGCTCCTTCAAAGGCTCATACGCCATCTCCAGACTTTTGGCGAAGGCCTTGGTCAGGCTCTTTGCGATCCACGGGTCAGCATCATACACGCTGCGTTTCAAGGCCACGACGTGCATGATTGGGAATATCTTGGTCCGTGCATAGTACTCTGCTTCGACCGCTTTGAAGTCGTCGAACAGCCGTGTTACCGTTTCC